TCATTACATTTATTGTGCAGTCAAACCTCTCTGCTCATGATAATCTGTATTTGCAGCCACTCCCCAGCGCTAGTATCACCAACTCAGCTCCACCTCAGATCATCGGGCATTAGATTGTTGTAAGGAGTGCAACCTAGATTCCTCACATGCGCAGTTTACAGTAGGGTTCACACTCCTTATGAGAATCTAATGCCGCTGATGATCTGACAGGCAGTGGAGCTTATGCAGTGATGCAAGCAATGAGAAGCAGCTGTAAATGCAGATGAAGCTTTACTTGCTCACCTCCTGCTGTGTGGCCCAGTTCTTAACAGGACACAGGCCGGTATTGGTCTGTGGCCCGGGATTTGGGGACTGTAGGCTTACACAATGAAAATTTCTCTCTCGCAGTTCTAGAGGCTGGGAAGGCAGAGATTAGTTGCTGATCAAACTGGTTCCCAGTAAGGGCTCTCTTCCTGGTTCACAGACGGCTGCCTTCTTGCTCTGTCCTCCCATGGTGTCGCTGTAGAGAGAGATCATTTCTACAACATGTCTTATAAAGGCACTAATCCCATTCACGAGGCCTCCACTCTCATGACCTAATAATGTCCCAAAGGCCTCACCTTCTGTACCATCGCAATAAGGATTGGGGTCTCAACATGTGCATGGAGGAGGAGAGGGAGGACACATTTGGTCCATGCCAGTTGTTACAACTCATTGCTGGGGGAATTAAGTCCTTGTGCGACTCCCCTTGAAGAGGGCTCTGGAAGCTTGCTTCTGGTGTCCCCTGGTCTTTACCGTGTGCACCTTTTCCTTGTGCTGATTTTGCTTTGTATCTCCTGTCATCGTAAATGCTAGTCAGGACTACAACTCTGTGCTGGATTTTGTGGGTCTCCCTACCAAATCACTGAACCTAGGGGTGTGCTGGGAACTCCTGACATAGCACCTTGTTGGTGGTTATTCAGAGAACCTCTGAGACCCATGTGCTCTCATTTATGTCATTTGTAGAGGACAAGGCTAAGTGTCAGAACTTCGCAGAAAAGATCTGGTGGTAGTGTGCGAACATTTTTCTCAGTATAACATTTAGGATACATTCTTCAAGTCATCCTCAGTGTAGTCTGGTCATGGGCTTTCTTCCTGTTTTAAATTTAAAGATGAGATTTTTAGTTTTGTTTAATTTAGTTTTTTTTTTTTGTTTTTTTTTAAGAAACTTTCTCTAAGTCCCTAATGATGATTAGCACTGTACCCAGCTTGATAAATATTGAATTTAGTTGAAAAGGCCTCCAACAGCGCTTGAAGTCTCTGTCCCACCCTACCTGCCTGCAGTTTCTGCCTGCCTCCCCAACCCTGTCCCACCCTACCTGCCTGCAGTTTCTGCTTCCCCACACCCGGTTCCTAACACACACATCGGAACTATGTAAGAGGGGTTATGTACCTCCAAACGGTGTGTCTACCTAGCTCCTTTTCACACAGTATAAAGAAATTTATCCTTCAAGTTTTTGTATACTGTTAAGTAATATTAATAACTCTTAGGAAAACTGATGTGTAGATTTAACCACATTGGATATAATAATAATAATTCCAATATTTATTATATGATAGTCTGAAGCTAAACTCAATTTATATATGACAAAGCTTTAAAATTAAAACCGCAAAGTATGCATATGCCAAATGAATTGATCATGCTGCTTTAAGAAAGGTTTAAAATGTTAAAGAATATTCTCCTCCTTTGGCACCATAAATCTCCTTGTCCACCTTTCACATATACCCAAGGAGCTGTGAATTAATCTTTTGCTTTCTCCTTGAAGTTGCCTCTATACCAATTCTGATATTAGTGCTACTACAGCCGGCTGTCACTTAAACACTCAGAACAGATGCTGCTGTTACTTAAATTTTAGGGTGCACTAGGTAGACTGTGGTTCATAGTTACAGGAAGCCACAAATTCACATGAGACTACAAAATGAGATAGGGAAACCATTGTTGCTAAATCTCTATCTCATGGGCAAACATCAAGAGGAACTATTTAGATAGTTAACGACAAACACCCCCTTTTTAACATCTATTAACTTTCAGTTTGGACTGTTGTGAACTAACCAGCAAACGTCTCTATTTCTGAAGCTCTAGAAATTATTTTAAAATATAAAAGTATTTATCTGAGAAAATAAGTGTACAAATTTACATATATTGAAAGCATAATGTTTTGTCTAGTCTTATGACAAAATCTGTATTGTATATTTAGCAGATACAGGATTTAAGATGTAACAATTAACTAGCAGCAAGAGTAAACATTTTCCCTGGAAAACTTTCTAGAAAAAGTAATCAGATTAAAGCATGTGAAAGCTCTTTGAGACCAAGAAGATCACAAGGATGTGTAAGGAAACTACCCAAGCTTACTTGGGTAGTTCGTATTTCTTACTTGGGTTTGGGTAGCAGTTCAGTTCTGGATTAGCTGTCAACATGCAGAATGTCTCACTTCCCATGAGGCAGCTTGGGGATCCGTCGCAGTGATTGTGAAATAATATGTGTGTTAGCCCAGCCTGGTCCTTAAAGCATCATCAGTGGCCAGCAATGGTCCAGGAAGGCTTGTTATTGGCCCATCACTAGATTACCATAGAAATTGCAAGTATTTAGAAACTTTATAGCACTTTCATATAGCCATGGCATCCAAATGGTTGATCATTCTTCTGGTAATTTATCGTTGCTGTATTTTACAAAAGTATTGGTCTGTGGTAGATTGTAAGGTTTTTCTAAATGACCCTTCGACACAGACAGTTTAGGAATGCTTGTTAAAAAATCAGATTCCTGGAGCTCAACACAAAGCAATGGAAACCACATTTCTGGGAAGAAGGACAAATCCCAGGAAACTGCATTTGAATAAGCTGCATGGGTCATTCTTTTTCATGCTGAAGTTTGAGAACTGCTGCTTTAGGGGGAGGGCCAATTGCATGACCGGCGTACTCTCCTAAGTGGGAGATTGGCTTCTGAAAGCCACCCAGTGTAAGGGCCAGAGTTGCAAAGGTTACAACTCAGGCACAGTTGACTGCAGTCCCCTCCGATGCTGACGTGTTATTGGCTCATAGAAATGCCGGGGTAGCAGGGACCTGTGATTTCAGAGTATAGTTCCACTGCTAGGTCATTAAGATGCCTTTGTGCAAAGCCACTGCGCTGCCATGTGCAGGGGAAATGTTGTAAATGTATTGATCAGTCGTGTCTGCGATGTGAAAGGTACCCCTTTCGAGGGGGCTCCGTGTGTACAGCCACAGCCAGCACCGCAGACCCCATGCCCAGGTGAGGGGGAGCTGCCAGTGCCAGGCAATGCATAGGAACCTGGAAAACACGAAGCTGTGCCTGGCTCCACAGATACAGGCCCTGGAAAGACTTCACCTCCAGAGAACATACACCACAGAGAGTTTCTTGTTTGTTTAGGTTTAAAGTTACTGGGAATCAAAGACTTTAATTCTCCCTAGGTAGATGGCTTTCTCATTCAGCATGTTAATTCCTTGTAAATGCTTTTATGCAGGGGAGAAAAACACCCACAGAGCAGTAATTGCTAGTCAGAAGGAGGAAGACTTATTTAAGCTGCCTGCTTGTTGGTTGCTCCCGTGGTGCTGGGGTCCGTCCCATAGACCCAGTGTCCAGGAGGTGCTGCTTCCTTGTTCTCACCTGGTGCCACCTGAGCCACAGTGGCTTTAGGCCAGCCCGAGAGAGATGCCAGGTGATAGATCAGCCATGGAAAAGGGGAGGAAACTGGTAGACCTGGGAAGAAAACAAGAGGAACTGACCAGCCATTTGAAGTTTTGACCATTGCCGCTGAGAACAAGTTTAATTAACTTCACAGAATTCAGACTGCATAATCTCCTTCTCTTTGTTAGGAGTGTGTAAAACGAACAATACTGTGTCATGCCTCTAAAGTCTTCTAAACAGTAGAACATTGCTGTCTCTGGAACAGTAGTATCCCTTCTCCTGATTCCTTCTACCCATTGCCCACCAGGCAGCCCCTGCAGCTTCAGGCTTCACCTCCTCTGGGCAGCCTTTCTGAATCTCCCAGGCAAAATTAGGCCCCTTCCCTCTTCTCTCACAGTGTCCCTTATACGGGACTTCTCTGGTTTGGGATCTTTGTGATGCAAACGTAGTTAATAATTGGAGAATATGACTGTCCTCTGCAGACAAATACTGGCTATAACAGGAACTAATTGTGTGGCTTTTTGTTTTTTCATAACAAGGGATACCTTTCCAGAAAGGTGATGAGCATGTGTTTTGTTTTTTTTTAATTTCACATTAGTGATGGTGTTGGTGATGGCAGGCAAAGAAAGAAAGCCTGTTAGTCTAGATCAAGGGTAAAATTCACTCAGTGACAGTTGGCTTTTGTAGCTCTCTATTTGAAACATTTAAAAAAAATTAAAACTTCAATACTGATATTCAAGTGAGAAAAATAATTTTGTTAAAATTATTCTTAAACTGTGTCACCCTAACTCCATTTCTTTCCATTCAAACAATGATGGTATTTTATAATAGCTGTTCCATTGTACAATTCCATTTTACAACTTTTCAAACAACTGTTTTATAGTCAATTTATAATCAAGTGACTATTTTGAAATCAACTTTCTATAGCATGTTTCTTTGGAACACAGCAGTCCTACCATTGTAAGCCACATGGGGTATGTGTGTAGAATGTGATACAAGATAGTCTGATTTAGGGATTGCAAATCTGTCATTCCCTAGAGCATGTCCCCGTAAGTTCAATGACTTTTTTTTTTAATCTCTTGTTCCCAGACCCACAGTAATCAATTGAACCAGTGAGTATATTAGAGTATTACATCTTAATATGCACCCACCCCTTTGAACTGCATACATGCCACTTAATGGAAGTTCTAGTATTGCAAATGTAAAGGTAACAAGAAAGTGAGTGCAAAAGTGAGTACCTCCTGCCACAGTCATTCCCCATTGCCACCACTCCAAAAAGATGATCCCTCTTGTTGGGAGTTGTTTATTGGGTTCTAATTATTATTTTTTTTCATGTCAGGAATCCTCATCATGATGTCCATGTGCAGAGAGGTGCACGTGTATGAATACATCCCGTCCATCCGGCAGACTGAGCTTTGCCACTACCATGAGCTGTACTACGATGCAGCCTGCACCCTCGGGGCCTACCACCCGCTGCTCTACGAAAAGCTCCTGGTGCAGCGCCTGAACACGGGCTCCCAGGGGGATCTGCATCGCAAGGGCAAGGTGGTCCTGCCCGGCTTTCGGGCCGTGCGCTGCCCTGCGCCCAACTCGGCTGGTCCACACTCTTAAAAACGGTCTCTTGGGAAGCAATGTGCAATAACGTACTACTGTTGTACTTCAAAGTCACAAAGGAATACTTGAAGATAGATTTTTAGACAATGTAGTTTTGAGTCTTTAAACTATAATACAGTGGTGGTCGTAAGAATTCTTCTCTTTCTAAGCCATCGAGTATTTATTACTGCTTTGAATATAGAAATGGAATTAAAAAATGAAGCTCAAGAAAGATGCAAAAAAAAGATAGCTAGAAAGAAAAATGTACAACCATGGGTATGATACCTCCAAAAATGTCAGCCTTTTCTTATGCCAGGGGTACCCTTCATCAGGGTGGTTTCAAGGACAGGTTTGGGTGATACTCCTGATCATGTGAAATGCTTTCTATCTAGAAACATCCAAATTGAGGTACAGTATCTACAGCACCTAGTGTATCACTGATACATATATCAGTCATTAAACATCTTAGATTGTATGAAGAACATTTGACTTATCACACAGATGTGTTTATTTTAACAGCAGAAATCCCCACCGTATCCTATCAGATGCACGTGTTTCCAGTCATTGCATTCCTCATCTCCGCTTCCTATGGTCTAGTGAATGCTTTGCTCTCTGTGTATCAAGACAGATTTCAGATTTCTAAACCCATAAAACATCCATCTTGAGGGGTCCAAGAAAAAGTAAGATCCCTTATAACACCCCAGAGGAGACCCTTTGTTTCCCTGCAATATCCCATAACTCACCCAGGAGCATAAGTGTCACACAGATGGAATACCGGACCCTGGTGCAACAGGGTGGCCCACGTGCTACCTGACTCCAGCTCTTCTGCTTTGTACCTCCTTACCTGCAGGTCTGCCCCACAGCTCTTGCTGTGACCACACACAACAATTGGTACAGCCCTGCGGGAGAAGGCAGGGGACACCTTGCTCCTATTAAACTAGAAGTAAGGACTTCAGAGCCATTGCCCTGTGCTGCTGGGGATGAACACCTGTCCCTTTTATATTATATGGATTTCTTGCAGGTTTTTATCACCTATTGGGAACTCAACAGTGATGTGCACTGAATTTTCACTAACTCTTCCTACAAACATTTGGGAATCCAATCCTTGTTTTCACAGATATGTTTTATGTCAGCAGCATGAAACAAAGCCATATAATTAAATACGTTGTGTGAAAGCATTGCTCTTTAACGACAAGGAAAATATGTATATGCTTCAGAGGAAAAGGCAGCTAGAGGGAAATTTTCATCCCAATACATTAGCTAAATTCAGATTTCTTAAATCTTAACTTCCATCACTGATACACTGAAATTTTTTTGGCTATGAAAATAGGGAAACAGAAACATTTGTAACACCTTAATTAAACATTTTATTCTTTCAATATATAACCAAAATGTATCTTAGTGGTATAGTGAAGACTTGTTGACAATGACAGTAGCAGCTTAATTAAATGTATTGTCTTGCAATGAATGTCAGGAGGGTTTAGTGGAAAAGTCTTATTTGTTTCAGGATTATTTTTTTTTTCCAGCATGTTCTCAGCACCATTTTCTTGAGCAAGAATGGTTTACAGAGACTGGAAGCTTCTGTTTGGTTAGTCTACTCAACAGAAATCAGGTGGATAACAGACGTCTCTTATGGCTTATTATAATAGTGAAGCAGGAGTAATTGATCAGTTTTCATCATGACAATATCCAATAAAAGCCCACTGTGAGAGTTTCACTATTAAGTCTGCAAGATGGGATAGATAACTTTGTCCTGTGCATTAACTTATGCCTGAGTAAACATGGTCATGTTTCTTTCCAGTTTCTTTAAAGAGCTTGGTCTTGTCCACACATTCACATGTGCATGGTAAGTTCATTAACTCTGGAGCACAGATGAGGCAGCTCTGAGGTGGGATTACTATTCCTCCTGCACTCTCTGGATCTTTCTGGATCTTCCAGGCTTTGCCTTTAAATGCCCCCAATTATTAAAGGTCCTTTTGTTGTCTTCCAAGTAGATTTGTGTGCAGGCATCCTTATTAGCCAGTTCAGTCCCCTTTGGTGACATGAGAACTTGACTAGGGAATCATTTATTGGGGTCAATGTAAATGTTCAAATTCAAAACACTTCAAAGATTTTTAAATGGCATTTTGTTGTAACACATGTACTTTTAAAAGGGTACTTTCAGTTTCACTGAAGTTATAAGAAAGACTGAAGAACATAAAGGAAATTTAATTAAAATTTTTAAATTTATTATGGCCTTAAAGACTCTTGGGAATCAGGGTCTGTTAAACATTTAGAAAATGTGGTACACATATTAATATGGTGTTGGCTAGGCATTCTTTTATTTAAAAGTTTAAATTGTTTAGCTTCTAAAAAAAATGTTAGGCAGTTATAGTTAATGTGGTGACTGCTTCTAGTATTAGCCAAATGGGTCCTAAGTGGCAGCATTTTGCCAGACATTGATTAAATCCTTACATGCAACATTTACTGAACTCCAATAAACCCACAGCCCTTCTGTGGAGTAGTTAACGATAAATGGCACCCCACTGAATTTCTCCTGGGCTCTGTCCCTTCCAGAGTCCTCCATCCTCTTTTGTGAAGGGAAGCTGACACAGTCCTCATGGTGCAATCTGAAGCCATCAGGCATGCCTTTGTTCACGCTCAGGACTAACAAACATCACATGACTTTGCATTTCAAGATAATTCCACTCTGCCTTTTGTTGTTGTTGTTATTGTTATCACGAGGAAACAAATGTTGACCAAGAAAGACCATTCCACGACATCTAGATTCTCCCTGACTTGATTCTCTAGCCTGTCTGGCCAGGCAGGTGCATAACCTCTAACGAGCATGGCATTCCATGGAATACAGGTGCCGGTCCCGGGCAGCTGACCTTCCCCCACTCCATCCTTGCTGGGTTGCTTTTATAGAGAACTTTGTGCTCTGGATGAATAGGTGCTCAATTAAAAGTTATATCAGAGGAATACATTAAGATGGGTGAGGGAAGGGCTGTTACATATCTTAGGATTCCTTGGTCTTTCCTCCTCTGCCTGGATGCAGAGCCCAGAGAGCCCTGCTTCAGGGACAGAATTTCTCACGTGTCTCATCCCCTCAATCTCTCAGCCAGAAACTTAATCAGTCCTGGATTTTCCAGTAGTCCTCGGCCATTGCAAACATAGCATCTGGATGAAAGCAATGCTCAAATAATTGTTAGGGTTTTCAAAATTGGGAAATCAAAGTCACTGGGTCACTGTCTGTCTTACATGCTTATGAGCCAGTTCATTCTGTTGGAACAGATTACACCTTGTGGTGTTGGCTGACCCTTCTGAGCAGGAACACTTGGATCTACTGAATTAATTAGGTCCTCTTTGGGTGTGTTAAGTGGGATCAGTCTCAGATGAGTAATGGCATGTGATGGAAAAATTTTGTACTCACAGCTGACATGATTGAAGTCCTCTCTCCAGCTTTTCTTACAGATCAATGCACCTTGCATGTGGTCAAAGGTGCCTGGTCCCATTTCTGCTTAGCTATGGGAAGAGACAGAAAAAAGGTGTGGGGTGGGACCAGGGGAATTAACAGACAGACTTAAGTGAATATACAGGCCAAATAGCCTTGGAATATATTCTATCATATTGTCTGTTTTGACTTATGATTTTCCGATAGTTTAGAACTCTTACCCAGTGGTTCCATGACTAATCAAGGCAGCTCCATTTAGAAATTAATTACTTAGGTAAAAGGTGCCTGAGTTTAAACTTGTCTTTTATACTCTGGATATTTTCATTGTGAGATTATTATGCATGTTTCTGTCACTTGGGCTTTATTTACATACTTGGTAAATGAAAGGTATTTCTCTGTCAGTTCAAGGAAATAGAATTTAAATTCTTGTTTTAATAAATGAATAAAGCCTTTTAGTAAGAAAAACAATAATCCAATTCCTATTCAAGCTTGGGGTAATGACATTCAAAGAACTAAAGACATTGATCTAGTTCTTACTCTTAGTATAAAAAGTGTACATGTAGATATATAATTGTATATATCCTTATCTGCACACATGGTTGATTTTATATTGCTTTTTCTCATCAATCTTTTTGGATGAAACCTTTACACTGAATTTTATTTTAATGATGTGAACACTATCTTTTTAAGAGAAGGAAGCAAATGTTATATGTCCTTCTGTTAAAAAAAAAATTAGTCCTCTAACCCCTTCCCCCACATACACTCACACTAGCACATCTTGGCTACATTAAGAAAGGTCTGACAGAAATATTTAAAAGGCACTATGAAGGTAGAACACTACCTTCATATTATCCTAGTCAGAAGCCTGATTTAATGCTGAACTTTGAAGAGAAGTTTATCTATAGCTCATGGCTTTAAAAGATTAGGAGAAGAAACATTTATTGGTTCTGTGGAAAATCATCTTCTTACTAGGTAGGTTTCAAACTAAGGAAACTGCATTGGTAGTGTTAAAATCTAACATTTATAGTATATATCCTTGTTTTACTCTAGGTGAAATACTTAGGAAATTCTTCCAGTGGAAACCAGTGAACTTTTCTAACAGCTTTGAGAATTTTTTTGTATAATAATTTTTAAAATGAAATGTGTACTCTTCCAACTAATTAAGGCTTGAGGTTTTGCAGGAGTCACATTTAAAAAGTGTTTGTATACATTTTAACACTTCGATATTTTCTATTTTGGTTTTGTATATTTTTATGTATACACAATGTACAGACTTTTCTCTTGTAAATAAAACATGTTTTCATTTGTCTAGAAGTTTCCCCGCTTTAATTTGTTGAAGTTACACATACAAATGAGCAAGTGGCAAAATAACCAGCCATCCCTTGGAAAAAAAAAATGGCATAAAGCCGAAATCTAATTAGAAGACTGAGTGGCAGCAAAAATAATAGTGTCAGACCTTCAAACCATGAATATGGACACAGTCTGGGCCTGAAACCACAGGTGGGTGGGTTTTTTGATTCCAAGGACTAATTGCTACATGCAGGAGAATGAAAGTGGCAAAATCAAGAAGCAAAAGCATGTTTAGGCTAACAAATCTTGATGCTGACTCAGTAACCCAGCAATGTGATTAACGTATGGCCCTAGGGGACTCTTCCCTGGCTCGGCAGGGCTTTAAGTCTTAGAGGACAGCTGAGTTAACTCAAACCTACCACAATGTCAAATTAGCTTTGGTAGTTTCATACTTGCCACATAAAGTGCAAACCGGTTCACTAGGCTCCTGGAAAGACATTCCTCAGCATTTGTGCTTTTCTGGTTAGAATGTGAAGGAATCCTCAAATCAGGGAATCCTTCAGGGTTCTTGACGGGAGTATGATGTGAGCAGGTGTGGAATTCCGGGGACATCCATCACCTGGGACAGTTGCGCTGAGTCGGAGAGGACTCCCACCACCTTTGTGCCACTGTCATTTTTCTTCCTCCACAAGAGGACTGCTTTCTTCCAGGTGATTAAAACATGGGCCTGGCTCCGTCAGTTCCGATCAGGCAGGGCCGGGGGGTGGAAGGTCCGAGGGCTGCTTCCAGAGCAGCCCGGGATGGACAAACCCCAGAGACTAAGGGGCACACACAGGGGACTCGGTATCCTTTGCCATCAGGATGCTGCAGGGAGGATTAAGAGGAAAAGAAAAGGAATTTCTTAGGACAGGTAGCACTCAGAGAAAGCAGGAACTAGGTGAAGGAGGAGGGAGTGAACAGCAGGGGAGGGAAAGAGAAGGCTAAGGTGAGCTGACTAAAAATAAATGCCAGGGTCTCTGACTCCATTTGCATGTCAAAGTCATTACCTCAGAAACAAGCCTGCCACGTGACAATGGCATACCCAGCAGGCCCAGTGAATGCACTGGAGTACTGTGTTCAAGAACTGGCCGGCCGGGCGCGGTGGCTCACACCTATAATCCTAGCACTCTGGTAGGCCTAGGTGGGAGGATCGCTCAAGGTCAGAAATTTGAAACCAGCCTGAGAAAGAGTGAGACCCCGTCTCTACTAAAAAATATAAAGAAACTAATTGACCAACTACAATATGACTATTAAGAAGAAAAATTGCCGGCATGATAGGTGTATGCCTGGTAGTACCAGCTACTCGGGGGCTGAGGCAAGGAGATCTGTGGACCCAGTGAGTTTGAGGTTGCTGTGGAGCCTGAGCTGAGGCCACTGGCCTCTAGCCAGCACTCTAGTGAGACTCTGTCTAAACAACAAACACAAACAACAAAACACCCTGTGTTGCTAGGAAACCAGCCTGAAGCAAGAGTGAGACCCATCTCTCCTATATAAATAGAAAAGAAACTAATTGCCACTAAAAATATATACGAAAATTAGCCAGGCACGGTGATGCCTGTAGTCCAGCTACTCGGACGGTGAGCAGAAGGTCCATTGAGCCCAGGATTGAGGTTGCTGTGAGCTAGGCTGATGGCTGCCACAGCACTAAGCTCCAGCAACAGAGTGAATCTCGACAAAAAAACAAACAAAAAAAAAAAAAAAAAGAGGAAGAAGAAGAAGAACTCCTGGTGTGCAGAGAATGTGGAATGGAAGCTCTGGGTCTCTACCAGCCCCTCATTGCGTGCAGCAAAGGGCTGGCGAGCCACAGTCCACGGCCCACCTTTGCAAAGGAAGCTTTCTCAGAACACAGCCAGGCTCACTCATTTATTTACATGTCTGTGGCTGCCTGGAAGTCCTGACAGAGATCTGGCAGCCTGCCATACCTAAAATAAATATTATCCGGCCCTTTACGGAAGTTTGCTGACCCCAGTCATAAACACAACCAACGGAGAACTATTTAGGCCAGCCTTGTGGCGCATGGTGTGCACGTATCCTCCCAAGACCATCTTCTAAAGTAGATACTGTATTGGCCCCAAGAAAGTTGGGGGTCAGAATAGTTAAGTTATCAAACTGCTGTCACACAGCCAGGAAATGACTGCCAGGTTAGCACTGCTTATCTGACTTCAAAGCCATGCTCAGAGCCATGCTGTTAGTCTTTTAAAAGCAGTGCCCCTCCACCCCCCACCTTATACTGTCCTGACACTTAAAAGTCCTATACCCCAAAATATTCCAGGGGTCCAACTTCGGAGGAATAAATATACTTTGTACTTTGAATATTGTGAGAAATTGTGCTTTGAAATTTATCTAGACTAACAACAGACATTTTTCCACGGCCCTTTCCAGTCCTCTAAATCCCCAGGGTACAGAAATGTATCTGAACTCTAATACTCGTGTCAGCCAAGGACAATTTTTATTTTGATATAAGAAGGCAGCTTCTCTGATTGTCACAGCCCGAGGAAAAGAGTGCCTCTGCTACAGCCATGAGGGTTGACATTGCACAAGCTCTACTCCCGGCCACTGTCCTAACTGAATTGGAGCAGGCTGGAGAAATGAGTAGTACTTAACCCACTGAGAAACTGAGCAAATAATCTAGGTAAAAGGAAAGTCAATGACTTTGGGAAATATGTCTTTTCCTGTCTTTGTGGACTTCCTCGTTGTTCCAAGAGTGGAGAAAAAAGAGGATTGAAACAGCAATATGCCCTTTGGCTGTTTTAAAAACAACTGTAGCCTGAAGAGATTAAAGAGGGTTTGGGAGAGCCCAGGAGGGCACGGGAAAACCTAGAGAAGAAATCTCGAGTTGGGCCGTTAGCAGGTGAAGAGCTGGCGGCCATGGTGACCCCCAGAATGCATTTAGGAATATCGTGTAAACAATTACATTCTCAGAAAACTCTCCTCTAAACTGCATAGCAGGTATGTGTGAGAAATATACCTATCTTTCCTTAACTAAGCTTAATTTCTATCTTGAATCCCCTTCTCAACATGAGGTGAAAACTATATTTTATCTAATCGAATACATCACTGAGTATAAGGTGTACCAGTCTTTTATCCACTACAAAGAAAAATATTGTAATTAAACTTTAACATGAGTCTTATGTCTCACTCAGGTGTGCACTGTGAGTCTCTGTGGCCATGAGCCACACGTGGATATTGGATAGTAGAAACGTGGCTAGTCCTAAACTGACATGAAGTGGAAAATACACACTGGATCTCCAAGACGTGATATGAAAAGGTGAATGTAAAATAGCTCAGTAATTTCTTTATATTGATTACATGTTGAGCAGATAGTGTAAATATCTGTTTAAATAAAAACATATTCTTAAGGTTAATTTCACCATTCTGTTTTATATTTTTTAACAAGCTGACTAGAAACTTTAAAATTAAGTCTGTGCTCATATTATATCTCCAATAAATGGTAGTAACTTAGAATTTTATTTTAAGTTTGTTGAAAAGCTTTTAGACTTATTTAGATATAGTTTTTTTTATTATAGATCCCTGGAGGTCTACAGAAAAGTAAAATATCAGTTAAATTGATCATTTAAGTTATTCTTAAAGTATTTATATTCAGAGTCTTTTTCTTCTGCATCACTTTTTGAAGGAGTCAAAAATTTCTCACCCCAAGTTGTCTTCAGCACCATTAGAAGCAAGGATGACACCACTTTTAAAGGGTGCCTTAGTGTCTCTAGGATTTTCTTCTAAAAACTACTAATACATTTTGCAGTTTTGATGTCCACAAGCAGGCAATGACAAATTATTTGGGGTTACTGACTAGCAAATAGGGACTGCAAGATGCATTCTAATTTCAGAGATGTTAAAATGTAAGGAGAAAAAAAATGGATCATGGTGTAGATGAAAAACAATATTTCTAATTTAGTACAGGGTTAGCCCCACTGTGTCCACCTCCTGCCCCCCAGAGTTCTGTTTAAATTCTGGGCTGTAAAAAAGCACTTATGTTATAGTGGAATAAAGCCCTCCAAAAATCTACTCCCTCCATCCATAAAAGCAAGAAGAACACTGGAAAAAATTATCAAAGTCAAATTTTTCAGACCTTTGGAAATTAAGTGAGGGCTTGCAGCAATCTAAGGAGTATTTATTCAGGAAAAATGGCTAACTCTCAGTAAGAACAGTGACCCTTGTGACATTTTTACTTGCACTATTCTAATCCCTCTCTACTCAGCTTCATGAGAACCCTGCATATTTGCAGTCTGAGCATTATGGTGGCTTTGAAACCAGAAGTCTAGCAGCCACTGGAGGGATCAGAACAGCCTAGGAGCTTCCTGAAAGCACCAGAGAAACTGTCACTATTTGACGGGTCTTACAGCTTCCTGAAAAGTTCCATTCCCAGAGCCTGTAGTTATTTTACCTGACTCAGAACTCCTTCTGGGCTAACAGCTCTGACCCAGAGTGTTCGTTGAAAACATCAAGTACAAATTGTTTAACATCACAGCTGTTTGAGACAGTGATATCAGTTGGGGCTAAAAAGAGGCTAACCAGAAAACTTATAAGGAACAATTAGAAAGTGAGATGTCTGTAATGGGCATTAGAAAGCTCTGACATATTCCTTTGAATCCGGAAGGCCGTGCACATGTGCATGCCCTGAAAAGAGCCTAACCTCACATCTGGCTGACCTGAGGTTCAAGTGTTGAAGACATGCTCCAGCACACACAGACCCCTTGGCAAAGGCTGGGCCACGTCATTCCTTCCAGGCATTAAGGAAATCACTGTCCAATCATTAGCTGAACACTAAGCCAACTGAGCAGGGACCTCAAGGGCTGCATACTCTGAGGAATACAGAATTTTCATAACTAGTTATAGAAAGTCACTAAACACACAAATAGCAGCAAAAAATAACCATAGAGAAGAAGAAAAAAAAATCTGATTTCCAGAATTGCCACATTATATTATTTAAAATATCCAGTTTTCAACTGGAGTTCCAGAAGGAGAGGTGA